TAGAATCATACTCTTGGAAGGGATCACTTATACCGTTGTTGGTTGGGGCCAACCAACAGCTTTGTTTGGGAATTCAAATTTAAAAGTCCGTATTACATGGTGGTTAAGCTCTGAATATATTTAGTTCATTTGGTATGATTCAAGAAAATCATAAAAATACATCAAATACCGCAACTTAAAAATATAGAATGGCTAAAAGACAAGCCTGAAAGAGTTAATAATGTAAAATATTTTTCTGATCAAAACCACAGTACTCTGTATTTTTATTGATTTGTTTCTTTAGAAAAGAAATGAACCTGTTCAAGATATCATGGGTCAAGAAAATTCTCTAAAGGATTTGCCTCACCCAGAATCTAAGGCTTCAATGGGCCCAAAAGTAAATGCAGCCCAGATCCAGTCTCGTGTTTAGATAGTTATGTTGTGTTTAAAAAATTATATTCTGAACTTCCTATTTTCTAGTGTTAAATAAGAAACTTCTTTATCTATTTGTTAGGACCATGTTACTTGAGGGATCGCCTATCCATAATTCTTTCCTATACAGAAAGATTGGGCAGAATTGGTACATGTTGGGTCTTTTCAATCAAAGAATGTTATCTAGTAGGACTCAGGAGACGTGCCTTCTTTGTCACGGTATCTGCCATTTAATAATGATTACCACCCAAAGATCCATAGCACTTCCGTGCTGATGGCAAAAAAAAAGTTTTCCAAGCTTGAGTAGGAAGTTTGTGGCATCCTGTTGGTGATTTTGTTGTTGTTAGAGAAGTATGGTTCTAAATGCGTTGAACTACCTTTTTATTGTTTTTCTATTCTTATTTTTTATCTAGGCCACCCAGAATCATTTTGGAATCAGGGAGATACTAAATCTCCTGAATAATATACTCAATAGCTAAGATACTTGGACAATTACAAATAAAGCCAGGAAACATATTCAGTGTCCCAGATTCAGGAACACCAGAATTTTGAAGCTTCACATCAGTGTTTGGGCCAATCTCTGAGGGGAGCATATTCGACAGAGCATGGATTACTGCAGAAAATCTTCAAAATATACAATTAAATAATATCCCAATTGCCTGTAAAAAAAGGATTTTTAATGCAGATTTTTCTATTCTTTCTCATATAATTATTTTTTAAAAAAACATTATGGCTGTGATCATGAATAAGTAAATATTTCTACAACAATCTTATTTTCTAGTAAAAAACTTTAAAATTGAAAACGTTTGAAAATACTCTTACTATTTTTTTTGTTTTTATATGAATCAGGTGAGATGATTTAGATTGGAATTAACTACAGGTAGCCCTCGACTTATGCAATTGAGCCCAATATTTCTGTTGCTAAGCAAAGCAGTTGTGAGTTTTGCCTGAGTTTACTTTTTTTGCCACAGTTGTTAAAAAAATCACTGCAGTTGTTAAGTGAATTGTGCATTTGTTAAGCAACTCTGGCTTTTCTTTATTGACTTTGCTTGTTGAAAGTCAGCTGAGGTGGTTACAAATGGTGATCACATGCCCCAATGCAGTACAACTGTCATAAATATTTGCCAATTGCCAAGCACCCAATTTTTCAACATGTGATCTTGGGAATGTTGCAACAGCTGTAAATGAAAATCTGTCAGAAGTCAGGTTTTTTCACTGCCATTGTAAGCTCGAATGATCACTAAACAAATGGTTATAAATCAAGGATTAGCTGTACGTGCTGGACTACAATAGACATACTGAAATGTAATTTAGAGGTAGACAACTTGGTACTTGACACATATAGTGGATATATTGTGGGCTAATACTCAGATTAAAAAGTCTAAAGCTGGCAAGGTGGAAAGCTATGATATACCGCTATGAAGTACCTCACTTGAAATGCCTCTGGTCACTTTGCTTTGGACAATGGCAAAGCATAAGTTGGTTTGGAACAACAGTAGAAAAAGCCCAGGATTTAAATTCTAGATAGATATAAATGTAGGTAGGGATTGCTGTGAATTCAATAGGCAAATTTTCTACCTATCTGTTAGACTGTGAAATGTGTTCTGTTAGCTAGCTAGTGTTTCCAAAAAATTTAGATTTATTATGCCTAGAAGCAGATAGAACTTAAGATAATTTATCCACCTAAATTATAGCCAAGTTTTGTTTAAGTTAGCAGGACTAGAACTCAGGATCACCCACTTCCAGCTCACTGCCTTAAACCACCATACTGATTTAGGTCTCATTTTAGCCTTATCTTCTTTCTACATGGCAGTCATCATCTTTGTATGTGCACATGCCTTCTCGTCAGCATTGACTCTTGACACCTACCCTTAATCCTGCAATTTTCTTTGCAAGATTTCAGAAGTGGTTTGCCAATACCTGCTTTTTAGGGCTAGAAAGACACAGACAACCAATTAGTTTGTGTGTAGGACAGGACTAGAACTAGAACTCAGTCTTCTAGCTTTTAGCCTGTGTTCATCATGACACCAAACATCCTAACAACTGCTGATCTCCAAAGAGGTATTATTCTGTTCAGTTCCAAAGAAAGTTGCATTTTAAATGCTTTTAGAATCTGCATACTGTGGAAGCTGAAGTCAATATTTAGAGGCAAAATTCAACATTGATAATTATATAATTTACTATACAACCTTTAAAAGATTACATTCTCATCTTGCTGGTGTATTAATACTTCTAATTGTAGATAATGTTAATGTGATTGGCTATATTTTAAGAATATAAAACTGTAATCCAGTGTTCTGTGTAACACTATCAAGCACAGGTAGATAGACCTAAAACAGCAATATTGAGATTATACAGGTAGTCCTTGATTTACAACAGTTCATTTAGTGACTGTTTAGTTATGATGACACTGAAAAATGACATGATTATTTTTTTAGTTATAATCTTTGTATCTTCTCCATGATCGCATGATCAAAACTCAGATACTTTGTGACTGGCTCATATTATGACCATTACTGTGTTCCAAGGTTATGTGATCCCATTTTATGACCTGATAAGCAGTCAATTTATCAACTGTAGTGATTAGCTTAGTAACTGGAGCAAGAAACATGGGACAAAACTCATTAACAAATGTCTCATTTAACAACAGAAATGTTGGGCTCCATTGAGGTGGTAAGGTGAGGACTACCTGTATTACAGTATTATAGATTTTATAATGAAATATGGTTAAGAAACTTCAGCTAGGTAGCATGCATGTTAATACCAAAAGAGGAACCTCACAGGGAGTGATTCAAGATATCCTATTGAAAGGAAAGAAAAAATTGGATCATCTATTGTTATTTACATATTAGTAAACTTCTGTTTTACAAATTGCTGTTTATGTTTAATTCTGGATAATGGAGAACCAAATGGGTTGCTAAATATTCTAGGAAGACATATAAATGACCCTACAAAAAAGGTGCTAGGCTTTGCACTACATCATCAATGAACAATCCTTAATACAATTCGGACTTCACCTGGGATTCTATAAATGGACATAGTATCTTTCCCTCAGTATGGCTGCAGACTCCCAAACTACAGATCAAACTACAGATCGCATCATGACTGGCTGTAAACTATTCTGCCTATACTGGTCCAGTAGCTTTTTTTTTTATTATTATAAACAATGCTGTACTTCAATGGCTAGATGGCCTAGGCACTATATTTGAACATAATATTTTTAATATTTATATTTTATTGGGTTCTATTAATCTAGTTGAAATGTTCATTTATATTGCTAGATCATGTATGATATGCCATTCCCAAAATAAATATCAACTTTTACTTAATGTACACTACTATGACCAGAAAATTATTTTGAAATTTGAATAACCCTAAAAACACCAGATCTTTTTATATTAGAAAATCTCTTATTTGGGCAAAACTAGCCATAAAAGTGACAATAATCAATAATTAAGCATGTAAGTATTCCAGTCAGATATTTTAAAATTTGGAGAAATCAACTGTTTTCTTGAGTTGGATGGTGTTTTAGTGCAGCGGTCACCAACCACTGATCTGTGGATGACTGGTGGTCTGCGAAACATTTTTGGTGATTCGCAGAAAAATTATTTGCATTTTTTATATTGCACTAAATACTATTTATCTTTTAAAAAAATTCTTACTACTGGTCCACTGGGTTTAAAATTATGAATTTATTGGTCCCTATGGTCCGAAAGGTTGGCGATCCCTTTTTTAGCTTATTTACCAACGTCCTATTAAACTTTAATGGTTGTTAGTCTCTCAAGGTTACTAATGAAATGAGGTGAAGAGCTACAATACAAAATTTTAAGGCAGATTATTCAGCGTATTTAAATAGATTTAAATATGATTATAAAAAATATCAGTAAGATTTTATTTCTATAAGTATTTTTTTCAAATAATCTAACAGCGCTTAGAGTATCCAAAATCAGGAGCAACAAACCAATTTTAATTTAGGCACTGCTAACCGTGTGCGTCTGAAAGAACGAACGTGGCCTGTACCAGGAACTTCGCAACTTAAGAATTTTCTCTTTCTGTTTCTCTTTTAATTCAGCAACGTAGCCTCCCTGAAATCCTCATTCCGAAATAGAGTTCTCCCGTTGCCACCCGCGGTGATGTAGAACCGCCCTCAGAATGGCTTTTTCGGGATTGGTGGAAGATGAGATCTGCGCGGCTGTCATTTGATTATAATTGGCCGATGGCGCCTTGGCGGGGTGGGGAGAGGAGAGGAGAAATGAGGCATTTGGAGGTTGCGGTAGCTATGCCGGACGGGGGCAGTGCAGTTATTGTCTGAAGATAGGGCCTTTCTGCGGGCGGACAATCGGTCGGAGGTTTGCCAGGCCGTTTTTTAATTTGGGTTCTTGGCAGTTTGGATCTTACTTCGAAGAAAAAGGGTGACCCACACCTTTTTACGCACAAGACTCCAAGCTGGCCTATCTGCTACGCCGCCGCCGCCGCCCAACGTTGGTGTCAGGAGCGTCATCGACTTCCCCTCCCCCATCTGCGGCGTTCTCTGGGCCCTCGCGTGCTGATTTCTAGTCGTTTTTTATTTATCGGTATTTAAAACAAAAGCTCTGTCTCAAATATGAAATAAATACTTGTGATCTGAATCCAGAGTAGAGAAACAGGAAGAACCAAAGCTGTTGGCGCGCTCTATAAAGACCCTGAGGGGAATTGTATAGGGGCGCGTGCACAGTGAAACGTGGGGGTGGGTGGGTTGTTCTGTGGTAGCTCACGCCGCTTAGGTACGCGTGTGCTTCGGAGCTAAGTTAGCGGCTGAGAAGGGTGGGCACACATTCGCACGAGAGGAAATCTTGGGTTCCGTATCCGTGTTTTGTGTGTGTGTGTGTGTGTGTGTATGGTGTGTGTATAGGCGCGCACGCAAGCTGGGTGGGAAGAATCTCTCTGGATCGGAAACACCTCCTCCCGCCACCCGAAATTGCGGTGTAGGAAACGAGGGTGTGAGTGTAGCTGTAGCTCAAGTCCGGTCCGCGGTGGCTTTTTTACCCCCCTCCCTTCCATCTCCCCCCTTTTAGGGCTTTATATTTATAACTATTTATAACTATACTGAAACGACTATAAAATAATGGCAAAATCAGGAGGTGGAGGCGGCGGCGGCGGCAATGGCAGTGGAGGAGCCGCTGGCGGCGGCGGCAGCGGGGGTCTAACCTGGGTGGTAAGTTGCCTGGCATTTTGTCCCTATTTCTTTATCCCTTTCCCGCTGTTGATGCTTTTCTAACAGGTCCAGACAGAAACGAGAGGTGGAAGGCCCCAAGGGAATAATGGAGGAGCAAAGATGCTTATTAGGATGGCGATGCGGGAAGGCAATACGAGGAACTGGGGCGGGGGGCGGTTATTCCTGGCCCACGAAAGGGATGGAGGCAACGGCAATTGTGGATTTCATGGCATGGGAAGGCTGACATGTTTGGTCTGGGCCTGCAGGATTTTCTACTTCAGCGAGGATTCATCCACTTATTTAGCAGGAGGGCCTTGCTATTCGTATTCATGCAGTTAAATTACACGTCTCTCGCTGAATTGCTCGTTTGAGAAGAGTTGTTTGTCCTTTTTAGTTTCCGAGTTTGTAAAGCTGCAAGATTTGTTTAGATTTAGATCAAAGGAGGAAGCTTTCTGAACAATAGTTTCACCTATATGAAAACCAGTCCAGTTTTTGTTTTTGTACACCTACATGTGTATTTAAGTTTTCTCCATATCTCCTGTCACAAAATAATAAAATCATGAAATTATAGCCTTTTCAATATTAAGAGTGGAATAGAATTGAGTTAGTTGGGCGAGAATATTTAAGGTGCAATATAAGAGAAAATTAGACAGATGTTCTTTTAGGCTAATTAAGAGTAATCATTTTTTCTTCAAAGATTGTGGGGCTGGCAGAGAGACAATAGAATGGATACTGTAATTTCTTTAGCCTATTACTAACTTCTATTTCTCTTGTTCCACAGAAAGTTCAAACAGGGTCACTTCCTTATTGTAACTGACCATAAAAAAGGCAACATAGCACAACAGTAGCAAAGCAGTTCATGTGTTTATCAAAAGGGCTTGCTGCTATTCTACAGATGCATGAACAAAAATAGAACGTTAGAACTTGAAGTGGTACTGGAAAAAATATTTAAAATCTACTTTTCATGTTAATGTTGCTGTTTCTTTGTAAAACTAATAAAGTCACATGTTTTTTGTGTGTTGAAGAATGTGTTTTTACAGAAGCAGCTGCATCTTAAAAGTAAAGGATACTGAGACGATAGTCTTATAAATTAAGATTGTGTCAGCATTGGACTGATAGAAAAATAATGTATTACTACAAAGTTCATTCTTTTGCTTTTCATACAGAAGTGATTTATAGTTGCAAAGTGCAGAAGGGGCAATAAAATTGATTGTATAAGTGGGCCTGTAACTTGGGAAGTGCTTCAACCTGTTGTATCTTATGACAGTAATGACCATCTTTTCATAAGCAAACCAATTGTTTTTTAAAATAACATTACAGACATGTAAAGTTGCAAGTGAATGTTTCCGGCTTATTCTTCAGGATAGCAATGTTTCAGAAGTATTTCTTTTGATAGTTTTCTTAATTGTCTTCTTTAAGAGATATTTAAAAATGGATGTTTTTTAAGTATAGATCAGGCATGTTCAACCCAGGGGCCCAGGCTACATGTGGCTCTCGACAGCAAGTAATGCAACCTCACAAGATCGTGAACTTTTAATGTTATTATCTGATTTATATACAGTTACATATTTTAGATGTGGCCAAGACAATTCCTCTTCACTCTGTAGCCCAGGCAAGCCAAAGGTTCAAACATTCATAATAATTCTTGTTGAACAACCATTCATTCAGCAACCATTTGAAGTTGTGACAGTGCTGAAGGGACAGGACTTATGATAGCTTTTTATAGTTGGGGCCATCACAATGTCCCTGAGATCCTGTGATTACAGTTCATACTTGATACTTATAGTTACACTGTTGCATTTCATCTTAGTCGTATGATCACTGCTTATAACCTTTTACAACTTGCAAACTTCAGTGCCATCTTCAAGCAAATTCAATGGAAAAGCCAGCAAGACTTCACAAATGGTGATCACATGACTTCATAGGATTTGTCTAACAGTGGCAACTGAGACTGCTACAACTATCATTTAAGTCAATGCAGTCACATGATATTGTTCTTTACAATTGTGTTGCTTAGCAACAAAGTTGCCAATTCAATTACCATTATTAAGTAAAAACTACCTGTATAGTTGAGATGGTACAATATGTAAATGTAAGCTTTTCTTTCATGTTTAAAAACTCTCAACAAAACATTTAGAATAGATACTCTGACCAGATTTATTTATTTATTTAATCAAATTTATATCTCTCTAGAATTGTAGACTCAGCAACTCACAAAAGGATAATGACATTATAACTACTAATGTATTACCTACAAACCTCAAAAACTACTTACTGCCAACATTAAATATCCTAGAAAAGGCCTCCAGCTGTTTTTGGATAATGTTGCAGACAAATTTCAACAATGAAATGTTTTATTATTAAACAGCTAGGCATAAAATATGCACACATATATCAATTCCTTTGTGAAATAAACAAGGAATCCACAGTTTTTATAGTCTCTTATTATATCTAAACAAATATAGATATAAATTCCCCTACTTACAAACAAGTTATATTCTAGGGGACTGTAAATCCATTTTGTTCATAAGTCCAAACAAACACAAAAATCATAATTAATTTCAGGCAGGCACACATCCCTAAACAGTGAACAGTATTTATGCACATCAGCAGACTGCATGCAAGTGAAGTTTTGAGAAGATGGGAAAGGGTTATTTTATGGTACATCTCTGGTAACTTCTAGGTTGTAATTATAGACATTTGTTAGAATTGGCAAAAGTTCATATTTCAAATATTCACAATGGCTTCTAAACAGGAAATACAGACACTCATGATTTAAATTGGCTTTCTTTGTATTATATAGATAATAATGTGAAATCACAATTGCCAATTCTTTAGCCAGTTGGCCATCATATATATACATGAAGTTTTTCTCAAGAATCTAGGGTTCATAATTTGTTGACATATATGTGGATCCAAGCAATGTGTAATTTGATGGATGGCATTTTATTGTTATTACTGTTATTATTTGGAAGCCATTAATCTTAGTTTCCATTTTCAGTCATAAAATGTTATTAGCTTACTAGTACTACATTGCTAACTTTTGACTTCTCAGTCTTAAATGCCTTCTAAAGTCATTAACAATGGCTTAACAAAGACGAAGAATTTGTGCAGCTGAAACTTGCATATCTGGAAGATAGTAAGATTGAGGAAGGTTAATATAAGCAAATAATCTTATTAAAATTGTTATTTTAAAAGCAATCAATTAACATTTGGATTCTTTGATATTTCTACATTTTTCTATAAAATAAAATTTTGATTTTGCATATAATGAAAAATAGAACAGCAAATAAATATTTAAATTCATAGTTTATAGCAGCTAAATAAAATTCTATCACATATGTGTACCTTAATGATAAATATTAGCTTTTAAAAACTACAACAGATTGTCAGTATATAGGACTCTCGATATAATCCCCAAATCTTTTCCTAAAATAATCCCAAAACAATAGACAAAATCTCCTGTATCTGACATTCATATATATTGCATCTTTTGTGACAATTTTTGTCACTGATGTAAATCGATACAAAGTAGTGAAAACATATATTATTTGTATAAATACAAGTAAAAAGGTGATGGGAATGACACAAATTGATCAATTTGTGGATTTAATAGACATTTTAATTTTCTATCCCTGTACCTGAATTTTACAGGAATCACAATTTTAAATTTTGAATAAAGCAAATAAATGTTAGTTTCAATTAAATAAGTTTTATTTACATATTTTTGAAAATAACATTTTTATTATGAGTAAAATATAACTTGTAGCATTTCTTCTAGATAATTCCTGTAAATCAATACAAGTTTTGATTTCTGTAAAAACACATTGTATTTACTGATTAAAAGTTTATTCACCCTAGATAATTTAATGCACGTGTAATTTCTTGTGTGTATTTGTTATAGCTATATTCTGACCCAAAATATCCTTTCTGAATAATTTGCAGATATTCCTTAAATTAATACTTTTAATATTTAAATTGAAAGAGATTTGCAAAACATTTTACCAGCTGGTGTTTATTTGACTTAATATATGATTTAATAATTATATTTTGATAGCATTCATTTTTATATCTTCCTAAAATTGTCACTAGCAATCTATCTGAGGAAAGTGATTGGAAATTGCCACTCTTAATAATATATAGTCCTTAGGTATATAAATATTAGTTTTCACAAAGCTAAAACGCCTTCAATTCCAAAAATCTGAAACTATGCATTTATAAAACTATTTTGTGCCCTACTCCCAATCTAAAAATTTTAATTTATATGCCAACACTATCCATTAAATTTTGTCAGTTTGATTAAGATAATCTACATACAGAATACAGAAGCAGTGAATATTAATGTAAACATTATTTTAATCCATTTTGCCTCCCATTAAAATTAAATGTTACATTGACTTTTTCCCCACGCCTGTATTGCTTACCTACCTTCTTGATTTGAGCAAGATTTTTTTTAAAAAAATGTGATTCAGAGAATGTATAGGTAAATGTAAAATACTTTTTAGGAATACCTTAAACCAGGTCTATTTTTTTTTTCAAGTTTACATGGTCATTCCAGAGGACAGAAATGTCAAGGAAATGATGTGTCTGTGTTAAGATATGTTTGTCATGGATGTGTTAAGTTACAAAATATCCATCTATGGTTAATAACAGATGGTTAACTGTCAAGTTTGTTTTCCAACTTGCTTCCCCATTTCCAAATATGCTTTGAATCATTCCAGTTTCCTATCTTTTATAACTAAATGAGGACCTTCCAGAAAAAGCAAGTTTTTTTTAAAGAATGCCACTGATATTTTATTATGTGCCAAGTATTTTAAGTATTTTAAGTATTATTTCCATTCTATAAAAAGTTTCGTACTAGTTGAATCCAGCTTTATACTAATCAATGTTAACATGAATAATTTTGTCTAAAACAATATTCTGCAAAAAAAATAATTGCTTTTCAGAATTGCTGCTAATATGTTTCAAGTAAAGTCTAATTGTATATTGGATGGACAGTA